GGAGTTTCCTATGTTTCAACCTTTTTGTTGTTTGTAGCATAAAATAGCAAGTAAAGGGGATCTTGAACCAAACACTTTCACCTGTTGAACAACGGGGCTGGTTTATACATTGCCAAAATCTGCAAAGTTTCTATCTCACTTTCAAAGCTGCAACATCAAAACCTAGCAATGCCAAATCATAGCCGTTTCAAAAACTTATAGAATATTGTGCCCTAAAAGCTAGTATTATTGTAAGCATAGAAACAATTGTAATTTGTGTGTTTGTATGGCAAGTGGTTGGTCGATGTGGAGCTGGTGAGCTTTTTCCAAAGGTGTAGATTCTATAATCATACTCAAGGTCACACCCACGGGTATTGCGGATTCGTCTTTTGCCACAATGAATTCACAGGGAGAACTCATATGACACCATGCAGTTGCGAGCGTCGTAAAACTGTTACCACAAATCAAGAAGTCCTACTTTTCTTTAGCATATTTCACAAAGTTTGAAACCTCCCTTAGCGGATTTGTTTTTCAGACAAACCTTGAATCGAGAAGGCCCATTGAGATACACCATGGCTATATCAATACAAAGGTTCCCGCTTGGTCAACAGAACGTTGGAAAGTTTCTTTTAGAGATGAGGGATATAATAATATGATTTCATCTTTTGAATGTACGGTTAGGCTCTCCGTAAAGTATAAAGGTAACGTTCTTTGGAAAATTATCCAGAAAGCTAAAACTGTCACGTACCTTTGTCTTTACATCATTGTTGAGCAGAAAGATGAGTGTAACCCCTACGTTCCGAGTGAAGTTGTCGGAATAGGTCATTTTTTTAAAAGCTCTTATCATGTAAACAAAAATGATAAGGACCCGTTTTATTTTTTATGGATATTTGGTACACTTGTCTTAGAATTGATGCAACTTGTCAGTATTTGCAGGTCTCCGCCTTTGATTACTTTCCTGGCTTGTTGATAGGGTTTACAGGAGTTTGTCAAGTCGTGCGCAATGATCAGCCTGTAAGCACATTATAAAGCCGGGTGTTTTTTCAAGTTATGGGGCTTTAATTCCATGAGTATCAGTAAACTGAGGAACAGAGGGAAAATTGTTTGTGTTTTGGTTTAAAAACTCCCAGCATTCGTATCTTCTAAATCCTCTACTTATACTCATTATGCGTCTTTGTCTAGCTGTATTTTCTCTTCCTGTTCCATATTGATTCAGGGAGCTCTCGTGGCCTAGAGGTTAATGTGTTGGCCTCTCATTCAAAGGTCCCGGGTTTTAATCCGGGTAGTGACCGAACAATTTTCTTCTCTGAAATTGTCTCCTTTCACCTCCTTTCCTGCTCTCTAGCAATATTCTGTCGTCTGCTTCCGTCTCCTCTTTCTGCCTCTCTTGTCGGTTTAGATTTAGATTAAGAAATCGGTGTACTAGTTCTATGTATATATAGATCTAATATCACGTACACTTGAATCACCGAGGGCGCTTCTTTCGTAAATTCTAACGAATATGTTATATCGTCAAACTGTTAGGTATACTCACCCCAAGCGTTACGATATTTTCTTTTCTTCAACATAATTTTGATCCTTTCAGTATGTAGAACCTATTATTTCTTCTTTGAGAGTCACTCATCTCTGAGTTGGTTTTTTGCGCCGTAACTTTTAGTGCTTGCGGAAACGTCTCGGGAATGCATTCAAAAATGAACTTGGAAATTCGCCCGTTAATCGAAATGTTTCAAAGAAACTTTTCTTCTGACACGACGTAACAATTCTAAAAGGGTATCTGAATATCTATGACATTTTGAAACTGAACGGTTGCGTGCAAACTACCTGCGCTCCAGTGTGGTGCAGTGCGACGCGAATGGTCCGCACGCACCAACAAAAAAAGGTGTTACCGGAAAAGGTTAAGGTGTCTGCCCCTGTCACGCATTGGCCTACCATAAGCTGGTCTTTCTCTTTTCCGTTTCTTCATTATGTTTTGTTATATATAAAGTAATCAGTACCAGCAGGACTTCTTAAAAATAGATGCGCTATTTTTTAACTCGCTCAATCCCCTGACTATTGACAGAACACAACTCCAACAAGTAGAGGAATTTAAATATCTGGGAAACATCGTCACACAAGATGGGCGTATGGACAAAGAAATAAAAACAAGAGCTATGAAGGCAAAGGCAGAGACCTACCAGCCAGCACCCCTGCTCAATCACAAGAACATCATAATCAAAGTGAAATCCCAGCTCATCAATAGCATCTTCATACCAACATTAACATACCAGTGCCGCAAATCCATCAACGTCACCAGAACAGAACATATAAGAAACGAAAATCTATTATTTAATTGTGGTGGCCGAATTATTAGAAATTTTAATGGCTACATCGATCGACATGCGGTTTTCGCCAAAAGATTCTTTAGGATATTCTCCAGATCAAGACGCCCTTCGTTTTTTTTTAGTTTTGAGACAGTTTTGCTGCTAAAAGCTAAATTTCATTCTTTTGCCGATTGCTTTTGTAGTCGGTCTCTGTAATTTTAGAAAATCCGCCAGGTTTGTTTATTTCAAGTCGTACTTATTTGGCAACTTGGAAACATATGTGTCACTTTTCTCTCAAGATTCTTTGCTCCATTCCAGTAGGGTGTAAATATAGTAGGCCAATGACTTTCAGTTGATGTTAACACACCGATTATTCCTTTCATTGAAAGGGGGCCCAGCTAGTATACGTCTAAAACCAGAATACCACCAGTAATAAAATGTATAGAGCGTCAAAGTGTCAAATGGTTTGGACGTCTAACCAGAATGCCCTGGAAACAACTATTGGCTAGAGCTTACAACACTCGAAAATCTGGCTTCAAATCAAGAGGAGGATCAAGAAAGACCTGGCTGGATGGGGTTAAAAAGGACCTGGAACAACAGAACATATCTATCACAGACGCTACACACCTATCACAGGACCGAAACCTGCACCTCCCCTCGATATCCTAAGGATACCAGAGGAATGAAACGGGGAAAAGTAAAGTAAAATTCAGCTCGCGGGGTGCGATCAATCCCACCACCGAGATAACTCGGTTCAATAGTTGTGTTCCATATACTAGTTATTTCTTCCCGGAAAACGGACTGAAGTTGCTTGTAAGGTCCATTAAGTGACAGAGACAAAGAGAGCGGAAAGATTGCAGTAGTGTACAGCAGAGTTCTGAAAGAGTCAGCAAAGACACATGTGATTTATGGGATACCTCGTTTGTAGAATTGTATGATAAACTACCCCTTTGTGCACAGAATTTTCCAACGGGTTAACAATTTATTTTTTGTTAGAGTGTGTCTTTGTGTGTTTGTTTGTTAGTTTGTTTGTTTGTTTGTATATGTATGTGTGTGCTTGCTTCTTCGTTTGTTGGTGTGCATGTGTGTGAGTGTGTGTGTGTGTGTGTGTGTTTATGTTTGTTTGTTTGTTGGTTTGTTTGTCTGTCTTTCCGCATGTGGCTCGTCGATGTGAGAATTTGGTGTTCCTAATCCACATTGATTCTCTTTGATCGAGATTTTCTTTAGTAGGATATCAGACTATTTCTATGCCCTGAAGCTTCAGATCGGAAGCTCCACTGTGACCAGGACTGTTGAAATGTCGGTCGACTGGGGTGCAGACGTTTTTATGTACTGAATACCTATGGTAAAATAAATCTAGCTCTGAGTGTAGTGGTAGTTTGACCTACATATTGAGCTGAATATAGTTTGAATGAGATGAGATAAAAGTAATTAAATGACGTTTTTGGTTTCACAGGTGGTGCTGTGAGAAAGTTTTCTTTTAAAGTGGGGGCCTTCTACAAAGTCGGTCATTTTCATGTAAACACATGTTTTGCACCTAGGTTTTTGAAAAGGATAATTTTAAGGCGGGGCACAGGGATTCAGGGATTTATCTGAGGTGAGAAAGTGGGTGTTATTGCTCTAGTGCGAATGAGGAGGTTGCCAAGATTTGGGGGGGGGGGGGGGGTGCCGTCGAGGTGCAATAAGAGAGGGGATCGGGGAAACAGGCTTTCATTTTATTCTTGTTTTACCAAGATGCTTTGGAGTTTTTGTACATTTGGGTAGCTTTCAGTCATGAGTCGACCATTGGAGATATACCATTTTTAGGTATACACTGTGCAGAAAGCTGGCTGTGAACTCGTCCTCTATCCGATGTTTAAAATAATTTTCACGGGAACAAATGCGGTGGAGTCTAAGGGCACCACCATAGACCACTGAACGGAATGTATATGTTTGGTATGGTTTGAAGAAGGTGGGAGGTAACGATAGGAGTCGGTAGGCGTTTTTTTATACAGGTCTGTCTCAATTTGGTTATCTGCAAAGAGAAGGGACATGTCCAGGAAAGAAATGGACTTTCCTGGGCTGGAATAAGGAAATGTGATGCTGTGGTGGGCTTTGTTGAGATCAGTGAGAAATTTTGGGTTGTTTTAGATGAACCATTGTGCAGGGTGATAATGTCGTCCTTGTAACGCAAAACTACAAATTGTTGGTAGGAAGAGGGGAGACGTACTTATGCCAAAATTCAGCCATAAAAATGTTGGCATAGGGGCGGGCTTTGAAAAGACATAAAGGCTTTAAACATCTAGCTCTCACTGACAGAATTGAAGGCAAAAGAGGCAAGGGTAGACCCAGGGCAACATACATGGAAAGACAAAACAGATTGGTGACGGGAAAAGATCCCGATAATGTAATTTTTTAGAGCATCTGAGCAAAGTAATGAATGAGGAACCATGACTACTAATGTCTGTTCGAAGATCTGGACCTCGATGATGATGATGATGATGATGATGATGATGATGATGATGATGATGATGATGATGATGATGATGATGATGATGATGATGATGATGACGGCACAGTGTCGCTGTTGATTTTTCCCCCTTGGTATGCGCCGTAATTCTTAAACGGAAATAAAACTGATGACCGGCCAAACACTTGCGTGCTCAAACAAATTCTAATATCACATTGTATTATGTCATGCGGCCATTAGCTTGGCTGATCAAAGATGATGTCTTGACTTACCAGAAAACATAGAACTAAGCTGGCTTTCAGCATTTTGCGTCAACTCTCTTCCACTCGGCAAGTCAGAAGAGGGCAAACGTAGAGTGTATGGCCTATAAGTATCGACGACCGACTGGTCCGCTTATTGGTCTAAATCTAAGTTATCTTTGATGTACACAGAAATTCACCCCTGTTCAAAACTGAGGACTCCCCCCAACACCTTATCTCGTTTGTTGTTTAATTTTGTTCTTGAAAAAATATATTACTGACGTAAAATGTCATATTTCAAAGGTAAAGGTTAATTACGTTTACATTTATTAAGCTGATTTCGTCCATAAACCCGGTGTCTGTTGGTGGTTGGCGGTTGCTCCGATGTGGTTTGCTCCTTCTTTCCTATCAAACATCTCTCTTATCTCTCCTCCTGTTTGTGTTTGTTACTCTCTTGTAACGTCTAATTAGGCGTTGACCATTTCTCTTCATACAAGCTCCAATACGCCACTGGTAATTTTGAATAACCCTGTGGTATAACATTTCTGGGTCGATTCTGTTGACGTCCTGTTCAACATTGAGTTTTAACTGTTCGATTGTTTGAGGTCTGTTTCCGTTGACAGTCAAAACACTGTTTTGATGGGGTTGTGGGGGGGGGGGCATTCATGTTTAAACTTTCGGCTTTATAAGACGTTTCTCAAACCTTCCTTGCAACCATACACGGGCCACTCTTGACGTATGGAGTGCGGACCCATCCCACTGGAACTAAGACTCTACAGCATTACACCCTCTGTACCCCAGACCTTCTGAGTACAACAAGATACCCTTTTGATGTGACAGTCTTTGTTTCGATGTCCCCGTTCTGAAACTAGAATCGCCGAAAACGTCCGTGTAACTAATCGCTTTTCAGAAGTACAATTTTACGTAGTGCCCAATTTTTGACGAAAATTTTAAAGCTTGATATTTATGGAAATCTTAGTTGTCATCTCATTAGCAAAGGTGAAAAGATCAAACAAGTCCAACAGTTTAAATATCTAGGATATATGATAACATCTGATGCCAAATCTTCCGCAGAAATAAAAAGGAGAACTGCAATGGCTAAGGCTAGTTTCAATAAAATGAGCCCAATCCTGAAAAATAGAAACATATCAATGAACACCAAAATGAAAGTCCTGAAATGCTATGTTTGGTCAACCCTTCTATATGGCTGTGAATGCTGGACAATCACTAAAGACAGTGAAAATAAAATAGAGGCAACAGAAATGTGGTTTCTTAGGAGACTGCTAAGAGTATCCTGGAAGGAAAAGAAATCAAAGGAGGTAGTGCTTGATGAAGCCCACGTGGGACGCTCAATGTTAAAAACAATCAGGAAACGACAAATGCAGTTTTTGGGACACCTGAATAGACATAAGTGTCTTGAACATCTACCTCTCGCTGGCAAAATTGAGGGCAAGCGAGGCAGGGGTAGGCCCAGAACAACATACTTAGGGAACCTAAACAAATGGGTAACAGGGAAAGATCAGGGAAACGTAGCTTTTCTGAGATCATCCGAGCAAAGGAATGAATGGAAAATCATGATCGCCGATGTCTGTCGCAAATCTGGCACTGGATGATGATGATATTTATGGACAGCCTCAATTGATTTTCTCTTTCTATTTACAAACTTAATGAGCCCCTGACTGAGATGTTTTTGTTCGAAAGTCTGGTGGAATTAAAACAGAGAAGACCAAGTTAGTTTCTTTAAAGTGGGTCCTCTTTTTTTTAAGACACCTTGTATCTGGGGGAGGGGACGGGGTGTTGTTATGTCAAATGCCGAGTTTTGACAGAAAAGAATGCAGGTATTATGAAACAAAAGAAAAATGGAGGCTACAACGCCCAAAATGACAGATGATACAGATAATGATAGCGATGTTGATGATTACAATGAGCGAAAAAAAATAATTAATTTGTCATGACACGGCAGAACCGGACGATTGTCAATTTTTAGCCATGTGGAGTTATTGTTATAATTTACAACCTGTTTATTTACCTTATTTTTGATGAAGAAAAATAACGTCTATCTCGAATGGCAGTGGTGTGGCTGAGGCCACCAGGCGTCAGAAGTAAAATTAGCGGGAAAAAATGGCCTCCAAAGTAAAAAAAAATTATTCAACGTTTAAGACCATTGACCCACAACACATCATATAAAACACTCATTTGTTAATGAATAAAGTTCGCTTAATGAAAAAGTACAGGTTGTGCACATATCTCTTATCATGGGTCAAACATTGCATATTTTCATCTCTTAGCAGAGTCAGGTTGAGCCTTCAAAGTTTGGTGACTTCCAAAGCTTAAATATACTTGGAAATTGCAAATTCACATTTTTGGTGTCTTTGGTTAACTTTTTCAGTAAATACCACAAAGAAATATTTCTTATTGGACATAGAATATCTTGAGCCAAAATTTAAAAAACGATAAAAATTGTGTAAATGGTAGGAAAATACTGATTTCTAAGATATCATTTATTTGACGAGCGCCTGATTCCACAAACATAGGTCTAACAGAACGAAGAAACAGTGTATTTTATGCATTCAACCACTCGTACAACGGGACAGAGAACAAGTATTTGTATTTTTTGGAACATAAGGAAAGGAAAAGGGGTGGGGAGGGGTAGGGGGCGTGGTTGTGCAATATAGATGCAAAGAAACACTGACAGAAACAGTGACCAGAACATTCTTTGACATTGTCTGAAGGAAAGAGGGAAGGGGAAAGACGATAATGCAAACATGGCATGATGACTACCGTTACATAAATTAACTCCATGACGAGGTGAAAACAAATTTTTTAAATTGCCAAATATGTGATAATATGTTGTTTGACCTTTACTGCTATGTTATGATAAATTGGCTCTTCTCAGCGTGTCTTAATGTACCTCTGATCTCGGCTAACCTTTTCCTTAACCTCTCCGGAATATCAGCTCCCCGGTTGTTGCTGTTGTTGTTGTTGTTGTTGTTGTTGTTGTTGTTGTTGTTGTTTTGGGGGTTTTTTGTTTGGGTTTTTTGCTTCTATAAATATATCATTAATGGTTAAAACTGAGATATCATGTTTTGTACACCGCATGATCCTAGAGTAGGTTGGATTTAACACCTAGTGTTCTCGGATTAAGGAGGAGCGACCCTTGATTTTGCAGATTTTTGGTCAGGCCATGCACATTTTATGTTGGCTGATTTTTGAAGATCAACCAGTTTTTTGTCTAAAAATAGCATGGATACAATTGAGAAAGACTTTATTCTCCAGGTATATTGCCTTTAAAAACATGAGGATGGATTAATGTAGTGAATTTTCACAATTATTGTCGGTGTTCGCAAAATGTAATTTTTGTGCAGATTTTTCCCTACTCCTTCCTTAGTTTTCCTCCTTTTGACATGCAACTTTCAGGAAACATAGTTGGCAAGAGAGATATTTGCGACCAAAATTACACTTTTCCATTGGCAAGCGATTACGCAACCTAAATTTAGAAAAAGTTTTTTTTATACTTTGGGAAAATTCTCATATATTTTTTCTTTTTCAGTTATTGAAAAAAGCTTGCTGTTACTTTGATAGGGTCTGGTCCAGGTATACTCTCACCAAATTTGGTCAAAATATTTGGTCTGTAAATAAGAAAGCCTTAGGGATTCGAAATTCATTGTTTATTTTCAAGATGGCGGCCGTTTCCATAGCAACCGCTGTAGCTATGCCAAAATAAAATTGCTTATAAAGAGATTTTACTATGTCTAACTTAGATGGGTACTTAGATTTGACCTTGGGAAACAAACATAGAAAATAGTCCCCAAGGGTAGCTCCTCCCGTTAAGAAGAAACATTTTGGAGGTTCCCTATGGTAGTTTCTCACATTGACGATCCTTTGGAAGTTCTAAAATTGAAAAGAGCAGGCTCTTCCAAGCAAAATTCAAAATGATCCTTACCCTAAAAACATAAAGAAACTCTTGTCAATATAAACATCACAAGTAGCTTCGAAAACGGCAGGACACAGTCTGTCAGACAGCAGTTCGCTCTGGGTTCCATGCAGATAAAACAGCCATACAAGTAAGCATCCACAGCACTGTGAGATGAATACCTTACAGACAGTTCTGCAGGGTACGAGTAGAAGAAGAAGAAGAAGAAGAAGAAGAAGAAGAAGAAGAAGAAGAAGAAGAAGAGGAACAATAACCCACATCTGACGTTGCGTTGTCGCGAAAAATCATCATATTATAATGGATGTGACAGAACTTTAGCAACTCGGTCTATATCTTTACATCATTTTTCACCAAATTACCTTTCAGAACTTATGGAAATGTACGCACCATGTCGTATTTTAAGATCTTCAAATGACCATCAGCTCTGCATGCCTAGGTCCAGAATAATGTTGGGTGAAAGGGCCTTTTCCATCTGTGCCCCAAAACTTTCAAACAATTTGGATTTAGATTTTAAAATGTCTCTTTCAATTGAGCAATTTATATGAAAGTTGAAGACAATGTTTTTCAGGAAAGTACATTTATAATGCTGGAACTCTATATCTGAAATATCTGTCATTTTGTGTGTTTGTTTTTGTTTTTGCTTTTTTATGCATGTCGCAGTGGTACTGAGCTTCAGCGCTTTTGAGTGTGTGTGTGTGTGTGTGTGTGTGTGTGTGTGTGTGTGTGTGTGTGTGTATGTGTGTGTCTGTGTGTGTAAAAAGCGCCACTGACCACTTTTTGCGGATTCTGGCGTGTTATAAATTCATTTATTTTATTATTATTATTATCAGAGCAGGAAAATGAGCCTCCCACTGGGTTCCGTCCAGGCACCCATCCTGTCCTCTTTTATTTGGATGAACAGGCGTAATTATTCTAGGATGATTAACAATCTCGCTCTACACTGACGACGTTTTTATCCCCGCTTCATCACGCTCGGCACGAATTAAGGAATGTCAGACACAAAGAGCGATGGACATCGTTGCTGGCTGGAGTAGGCGATAGAAACTCACGCAGAACGGGTCGAAGAGCAAGACTATATTCTTTACGCTCGCAACAGCTGCTACAACACACCGGACCCACTCTGTCCATTGTGAAGCGAGAAGCACCGAAATTTGGAACACTGGCTGAATATATGCCCCGCTACGG